AATTTATTCCAAACAATTTCCATTATTATTGACGACTTGTGCCCATTTTACAGGCAATTTGCGGACTCCTCTTTCGTAGTAGGGTTTTGGTTTGTGTGTGAGACAAGTGTGAGACTCAAAAATGGAGGGCTGGAGATTTCCCAGTTTGAGCACTTTCTTCAAAAGAAACCCACTTTGGTGTCAATGGAAAAGTTGTAGAGAATCAAAAATGAGGCTTATAGCCAAATTTCCAAAAAGATACACTTAGTAGTTTCGCTTAAAATGCATGTTTTTTGAAAATTCGTAAATTTCGCATTTCTTGAAAACCAATTTTTGAATCGTTCTGAAAATTTGGATATAAGCCTGATTTTTGATTCTCTACAACTTTTCCATTGACACCAAAATGGGTTTCTTTTGAAGAAAGTGCTCAAACTGGGACATATGACAATAGCCGGCAGTTCTTTCAATTCACCGACCCAATAGATCGAGACTAGCCTTGATTTGCGCAGAAGTCAATGTCCAATTTGAGGATTCGGAGCGGTCAGATTAGTTTGGCAAAGGCAGAGGGAAGGGAGCTATGTAAAAGTCCTGCGCCAGACGACGAGCGATTACGCGGCTGCACAAAGAACGCATAGAACGCAAATTTTAAGCGAAACTACTAAGTGTATCTTTTTGGAAATTTGGATATAAGCTTGATTTTGGATCCTCTACAACTTTTCCATTGACACCAAAATGGGTTTCTTTTGAAGAAAGTGCTCAAACTGTCACATATGACAATAGCCGGCAGTTTTCAGTTCACCAGCCCAATAATTCATTTAGTTTTAAAGTTTTAAGTTTAACCATCTTTGATTTTCTATAAGAAAATCCTTCATGAAATATTTGAAAATGTAAAGAATGAAATAGAAAGATCAAAGAAGCCTATGAAACTCAAAAAAAGTTTAGTAAGGATAGGAAGGATAAGGACAAGAAAGTGGATAACGTCTGAGTTGAGAGAGCCGACTCTTTCAACCTCAATTAGGCCTTTTCCAGTGAGTCTTTTTTTTTTTTGATTTTGGCCATGTTTTGAGAGAAAACACACACAAAAAAGCCAACACAAAGACAAGATGGGCTTCCTTTGAACAAATTTTCGCCCTTTGATAGGATTTTGAAAGGAAAAGGGAAGGCATTTGGGGAAAAAAACGAGATCGACGACGAATTTGAAAAGAAATATTTGATTCTTGATGCTAAATTTAGAGAATAAGAAAGCGATAAAAGCTGAAAGTAGGTAAAAGTTGAGCATTGAAGTCTTGTAAAGAGTTTTAGCTAATGAATTTGTTCAAAGTCAACCTGATTTTACCGAATCTATCTAAAAGTTTAGACTACCCTAAAGTCGCGAGTATAAGTTCTGTCTGGTTTTCGCATGCAAATTGACGGCTGTCATGCAAATTGACGGTATGTCGAGGGTTCGAACCCCGCTGCAGCATAACTTTTTTGCTTTTTAAGAACAATAGAAGTAAATTTATTGAGGGTTATAGCAATTTTATGCTGTTATTTGTTGCTCCGGGCGTGGCTCAGCGCGTCCGCCCTGCTCCTCTCCGGTGCTCAGTCTTATGGATTATGGGCCAGGGAGGGCCCTGGCCTCTTCATCCGGCCAAAGTCCACGTCGACGGTCGAAAGAGATGCTTTCCAGCGTCTTCTTCAACACTATCGTCTGGATGTATCCATGCACATAACAAATAGCAATGGTGATAGGCTGTCACCCTGTAGTATCCCGCGCTCCAAGAACAATAATAAAAGTTTATATAACAATAAAAATGTATAAAAACCCAACAAAAAGAAATTCAAAGCAATTAAAGCGACATAAAAAAGAATTCTGTGCTTAGCTTCGAAACTGTTTCATCCGTCAAAGCTCTTCGAAATCCATTGATAATGCAAGAAGAGGGGACCGCATCGAAACTTTTCCTTACCCATTCCGCAACTGTCTCGTAGCTCGCTCTCTTTTTTTCGTCCCGACAGGGTAAATTGGTCGTTTCGGCTATCGGACATCCATTCTCCCCAGTGAGCCTTTAGATTGTCCTTGAATGGCTTATTGACGCTGATGTCAAGCGGTTGTAGAAATCGAGTTAGCCCTCCTGGAATCACAGCCAGCTTCGAGTGTTCGAGATCTTTCTCCACATCCGGCCATTTTGTCCTCAATCCTCGGAAAGCTCGATTATTTTTTGGTGAAGTCATCAGTGCCGGCTCAGCTTGTTTCCAGCGGTTAATCATCTGTTCGGCGACTTCAAATTCGATCGCAGCCGCGTTCGTTCCAAATTTCCTCGCAAATTTGACCGCTTCGAGCTTCGTTTCGGCGGTGTACGACTTTCTCCTCATCGTATCTAAAATAAAAAAAAAACAAAAAAACAATAAAAATTAAAGAAAGAAGAAAATTTTCCATCCCTTTAAATGCCCTTTAAATGTAAATTATAGAACTTATACTCGGATGAACTTATACTCGCGACTTTAGGGTAATTGAAATGAAAGTTTCAGCTTTTCTATTTAGCTTGGTTTTCTATTGGAATGACGGCGATTCAAGGACTGATATTGGACTAGAGTGTGCTCCTTGTTGACAGACAATTTGTCAGACAAATTTTCATTGACAACTTTTTTGTCAGACAATTGATCCGACAAAACTTCCGACAACGCGTTTTCTAAAAGGTGCGCTTTTTAAGCAAAGCTATAAAGGTCGCGCGAAAAAAAATTTGCAAACTTTTCTTAAAATATAGTAATGGATAGTTTTATTTAAGGATTTAGGTTTTTTAGGGCGTCGAATTTTTTTTTAGAATGGTTCTAGTGCAAATGTAGACAATAATAATAATAATAATGATTTGATCTGTCTTCGCACTTAGCGCAGATCACAACCCGCTTCCACATTTACTGAGGCAGAAGTGTAGTTGTCGTAGCCGATGATACTCCCGATGGCCGGGCTGGGGCGCTCGGAGGGGAACCCATGGGAGTCGAACCCACGACTAACCCGCGCCGACGTTGCTCAACTTGGCAGATCGGACGGGGTCGACCACAGACCCTTCCCTTTCTGGGCCCCAATGTAGACAATAGGCCTGGTAAATTGGTAAATAATATAATTTTTTAATAGTGTTTCTTAACTTTTCCCGTTTTAAATGTTTTCTTTAATTTTACATAGCATTTAAAAATTTTTAAATTTTAGCGAAAGAGTAATAGAAAAAAAAGAGCGCAAGATTTTAATGTACATTTGCATTCTGAAAAATTTGCTGATGCAAAGCATAGGGTTACGGTAGCTTATCCTTGGCGCCCGCTTTTTAGAAAACGCGTTTTCTGCAAGGAACACACTCTATATTGGACTGATATTGGACTGATTCGATATCTGGGCTCAATGGAACCTAATGTAAAGAAATATTCTTTGCGTGCTTGATACTCTTCACTCAAGACACGTTATTTCTTGTTTCGAGATATCTGATCTCACTTGAACTAAAAACGCTTTATTCAATAGCCGACTGACTCGGAATATTTGGGCTCTCACTTGAGCAACTTTCACACAAGATCGACAATTGAATTAAAAGTGACGATAAAAACAGAAACAATTTCGTCCTAATTAGGACACAACTTTCAACACGATGAGAGGAAAGCAGTAAAAAATGAAAGATAATGAAAAACAAAATGAACAACAATTGCGTTATATAGGCTTTAACACAAGATACTCAGCTAACAAGCTACAAAACAATAAATGATTTGGGGCGCGAAATAGAATGAAGCCGATTTCCTCAATATTTTTCCAATTTTTAGGCTGCCAGAGTTAGGTAACTTTTTAGTGGCTATTCGCCACACCTAATAGATTTCGGAATTTATCTAAAAGTTTACCAATTGAGAGTTCCAATTGGTAGACTCAATAAAATGAATAGCTCTAATCGATTCGCCGACCTTGAGAACTCCCGGGGCTTCATAGCTGAATATCTTTTTGTAACATCAACAAAGGAAAAGAGAAATCTTGTAAATGACTGGCGAGGTGTTCTTTGTTTGATCGCGTAATCTAAGTTATAGCCGTCTGGCACAAGTTCCCGATAGATAGCTGTTCCCGGGCTCGAACAGATTAGCAAAGATTCCAATCGACCTGACTCTGCCGATTGGGGTGCTTTTGATATCGTTGGAATCACCTCATCGAATTCCATAAAACCAACAGAATTTGACGGTTTTCTTGCCGCTTTTAAGAAGTCTCTTGGTGAGTTGATGCGCTTGGCTCGACAGTACTGTCAACCTTAAGGGTTGGCCGTACTGTCGAGCCAAGCGCAGAACTTTGTTGAGTTAAACCAACCCACGCGTTCATCGCATAGAAGTATCGGTTTGAAAAATGTGATGACAATTTGATGTTGTTCTAAAGGAGAACTCGCTTTAGGATTGTGATACTTTTTAGAGGTTTTAAAAGCGGTCGGATTGAAGTTTTACAAACAATTCTTTCCTATTCTTTCCTATTCTTTCCTATTCTTTCCAAATCTCACTTTCTTCAATTTTCAAATCGATTTCTAAATTCAGAGCGAATCGTTTAGATCATTGCCCTTTCCCGATTGCTTTTTTCACTCCTTTCTCCACATGGTTTTGTTTTGTTTATTTGAGCGAATCGTTTTGGGGAATTCGTTTATAAAAGAGAGATAGCACTCAATAAATTTCACACACATATTTTATATCAATTGTTCATTTTTGATATTTTCTTTCAACAGTATCATTTGGGCATTTTGATAAAAACGAATTTGATAAACATCTTCAACATTGAAGATATTTATCAAATTCGTTTTTTTTAAGAAACTAGAAGGAAAACGTATTTTAAAACCAGTCTGGACCTGACTCTGAATAGCGAACCTGTCCCAGACCGAACTTGGCGTTGATCTAGTCTATAGAATTTTTTGATATCTTTAATTAGCCTTTTAAAGTTGAAAGATGAAAGATGAAGAGTTTTAGCGGGTATAATTTTTCTGAAAAAGTGACAAATGGTGGCTCGATTGATCGTTTTCACCGTTTTCGTTGTTTCATCGATGGGAGCACTTGAAACGATCAAATTTCGGGATTGCAGTGAGTTTTGGAAGAAAAGAAGAGAGGGAAATGATAGAGTGTTCTGGTGGAGAAAGAGTTTACACCATTTCATTTTCGAAAACTACTGTAACCTTAGCTCGAGTTTTTATCGATCTTCTGCTGATCCTTTTTCTGCTGATAATCAACCCAATCGAAAACAATTCTTAATCCAAAACTGATTTTAATCCAAAACTTTGATTTTAATCCAAAATAGAATAAAACTTTTCCAGAATCCACATTCAAAGTCGATCGAGTGGCTGTTGATGGAGCACGGGTGGTTGGTTTTTCGTTGAGAACAAATCAACAACTCCTATCGATCACTTTCCCTGTTATCAAACAAATCTTACTTTAATTTAAACTTCAATATATTTTGATTTTGATTAGCAAGAAGATAGCAAGGTTAAGCTTAGCCGGGTGTTTTCAAATTTCCTTCAAAAACCACAAGATCAAGAGCATTTGAGGATTCGAAAGACGGGAAACAGATCCTCATTTTCAAGGCCGACTCAAACCCGAAAATGCAGATCACATTCACGCCAAGTGAGTGGAAAATGATCTTTGCTTAATTTATAACTTATTACTTGAATGTTTTAGGCTTAAATTATGCAATTCTAGATGCAATTCTAGATGTAATTCTAGATCCAATTCTAGATCCAATTCTAGATCCAATTCTAGATCCAATTCTAGATGTAATTCTAGATCCAATTCTAGATGTAATTCTAGATCCAATTCTAGATCCAATTCTAGATCCAATTCTAGATGCCGATGTTTCGTCGGAGATGGGCACTGCGGTGAACGCGAAAATGGACACCGGTTTGTTCAAATGGAGTCTACCCGATGCGAACGCGTGTAGTGTATGTGTTTTTTGCATTGGAAATAAAAAGGAAAAGGATTTCGGATACTTTACCTTTAAGAATATTTGAATATTCTTGGCCTTTAGCGAACTTGAAACATGCTTAGTCTTTCAATGCTTACATAACCTTTTAGCATTCCTGTAACTTGTTGATCATTGAACTTTTCAAGGATTCAAGCAACACTTGTTTCTTAAAACAATTGTTTCTTAAAGAAATTTCAGTTTATGACATGCCCATTGAAGAACGGCGTTTCGACGACATATGAACAGAGTTTTCATCTCAAAGCTGAGTATCCAAAGGTGGGAAGAGTCTTGACAGTTGTCTTGACAGTCTTGACAGTTGTCTTGACAGTCTTGACAGTCTTGACAGTTGTCTTGACAGTCTTGACAGTTGTCTTGACAGTCTTGACAGTCTTGACAGTTGTCTTGACAGTCTTGACAGTCTTGACAGTCTTGACAGTTGTCTTGACAGTCTTGACAGTTGTCTTGACAGTCTTGACAGTCTTGACATTGCAAAAGAATATTTTCCCCTTAAAATAGATAAAAATAAACAAAAAGCTTTAGTTTTGATAGAGAAAGTTTGGTTAAAAGCTCAAACGAATCAGAATTTTCAGGATCAAACGATCCAAGTGAATTGGGTGATTCAAAAAGCCGGCGGTGACACGAAAGAAGTGTGCGTCGTTTTCCTCGCTCAAATTCATGCCTGAATATCCTTTTGCATATAAATTTTCATGAAATCATGCTTTAATAAATGAAATATGTTTGATATTCAGTGTACAATGAGCTAAGAAACGGGGGTATTCATCACTAGATTTGAAGCAAAAATCACGTGATCACTTCGGACTTTGAGCAGTGTTTGCCAGTGAATAACTGAATAAATGAATCTGCAAGTGAATAACTGAATATTCTATCCTTTATGACTCTTATCAATGCATAGTTAGAAGCAATAAATCGACTCAGAAGCACATAAATATCGCATAGTTAGCGAGGGGAAAGATAACAGAAGAAGAATTCAGTTCAACGCTGGAAATGAGGATTTTTTTCCTATTGATTGCTTTGTTTTCTATTGGAATCACGGCTTTTCATTCGATTCACTTCAAGAATTGCAGTGAGTGAAGAGATTGGACTTATTCGATAGAACCTGGGCCCAATAGAATCTAATAAGTTCAACGTTAAATGCGCAGTAGCAATAACAAATTTCAAAACTTTTAACAGACCGATTAAGCCCGAGTTCCAGTTGGTAGACTCAATAAAATGAATAGCTCTAATCGATTCGCCGACCCTGAAAACCCCTAGATACAAATTCACAGCTGAATATCTTTTTGTATCATCAACAAAGCAATAGAGAAATCCTTGTAAATGACTGGCGAGGTGTTCTTTGTAATCGCTCGTTGGCTGGCACACCCTCAAGAAAAATAAGTCAAGGGGAAGGGGAGATTTATCTGATTGCGTTACTATGCCCCCAAATTCCCTAGGATCATGCCTCTAGGAGTTGCCTTTTTTTATCATGAAATGTAATTTTGCAAGATGCAAGTTGTATTTAGTTAGCAAAATAGCTGTAGGATTTTTAAATGGTTTTATCGTATTTCTTCGAATAGAAGACCGGGTAAAGAGTATCATCGCGTACTCCTGCGTAGCAGCCCTTTTTAAAATTTCTTTTCTGCATAAAAGCTTTCAATCAAGTGCTATAGAGCTGGAAAATGGCTTAAAAATCTGTTAGCTCATGTGGTCTTTTTGAGTCATTTTCCAGCTCTATAGCACTTGATTGAAAGCTTTTATGCAAAAAAAGAAATTTTAAAAAGGGCTGCTACGCAGGAGTACGCGATGATACTCTTTACCCGGTCTTCTATTCGAAGAAATACGGTAAATGGTTTGAAATGGTTTTGAAAATTCTGAAATGCAACGAATTTAGAGTCGAATTTCAAGGTGATCTCTTTGGAAATCGCTGGCGCTGAGATGGTAATTTGAAGTATTTTCTACTTTAGAACAGATTACTTTAAGCCGCCAGTTATTAAAGTGTTATTTGTCTACAGTATTCCAGTAAATTCTTTTAAAGATCGAAGAAAACGGTCACCACATCACTCTCCTCAAAAAGGGAACTCATCCAAAAATTCGGATCCGATTTGAGCCAGGTGTGAAGAAAGCATGAAAATCTAAAATGAATTCTTTAATTTACAAAAACTTATTATTAATATGCAAGTTTTAGACGTGAACTTGTCAAATTTGAAAACGGAAGTGAACGCGAAAATGGACGGAGCGCTTTTGAGATGGAATATGCCTGAGACAAATGCTTGCAAAGTTTGTCTTACTTTTAGAAAAAGAGATTCATTTAGCTAGCTTTATATGTTAGATATTTAAAATTTAGATTGAAAGAGTAATTATCAATTTTTAGTTCATGGATTGCCCACTTGTTGAAGGAGAGGAAACCGTTTATGAGCAGAGCATTCAAATCAAGAGTGAATATCCAACGGTAATCAACATTAATCAACGATTTTCTTTATTCTTAAATGTGTCATCTACCGTAACCGTTTTAGCTACCGTAATCTTGTCTCTATTAATTGAAAACTAGCAGATTACGGTAGCTTTCAAAAGTTTTTAGATTTTAGAAAAGGAAGAAGGAGATTTTGAAATAAACTAGAGTACAAATGTTCTTAAAAGGAGAAGGCAGACGAAGCTTTTATAAGGCTTAAGCTTAAGCTGATGCTTAGGGTTAAGCTGATGCTTAGGGTTAAGCTGATGCTTGGGCTTAAGCTGATGCTTAGGGTTAAGCTGATGCTTAGGGTTAAGCTGATGCTTAGGCTTAAGCTGATGCTTAGGCTTAAGCTGATGCTTAGGCTTAAGCTGATGCTTAGGCTTAAGCTGATGCTTAGGCTTAAGCTGATGCTTAGGCTTAAGCTGATGCTTAGGCTTAAGCTGCTTGGCAAGTGGCTTAAGGCTTAAGCTGATGCTTAGGCTTAAGCTGATGCTTAGGCTTAAGCTGATGCTTAGGCTTAAGCTGATGTCAGTTAAGCTGATGTCATCAGTTACTCGATGGCTGATTGGTACATTTCTAAGTTACAAAATAAACAAGCTGGGTTCGATCCCAGCACTCGAATCAGCTTAATCATTGGGTATGATGAAGCAAGTTCAAAACAAAACCCATAACTCCATCACTTCTTGTTCTTTTTTTTCCAATATTGATAGGATTATTGTAAGCCGATAGTCATTAAACTGTAAATAAACTTGTAAGTTTATAGAAATATTTTCAGGGTTTTATATTCAATGAAATTCAATGAAAAAAATATAAGCGAGTTCTCGTTGTCGTTGTCGTTGTCGTTGTCGTTGTCGTTGTCGTTGTCGTTGTCGAGCGAATTTGTCGTTTAACTTTGAGCTCACTTTGGAAATAGTTGAAAATTTGTGAAATTTCTAACTTTTTCTGGGTTTCTGGGTTACTCGAAGTGATCATGATCATGCAACGTTTTCAGGGTAAAACGATTCAAGTGAATTGGGTGATCGACGGTGACCGGCAGGACATCCATCACGATATTTGCATCATTTTCCTCGCTCGAATTCAACATTGAAATGAAATTGCTATCGAAAAAACAATTCACCAAAAATTTCTTTCTTTTCGAAAATTCTTTCCCTTTTTCTATCTAAAAATAAATGTTTAACTTCCTCATAAATCCTTTCTTTGAATGTTCTAAAATTGTCTAAAGTTTGAAAGACAAAAAATGTGTAGGAACACTTTTGGGAAGAACTTTCCTTAACTCTCTTCATTTTCTCAAAACCACTTTCCCATACACTCTTCAAAACGGAGGAAATCTCTACCCGATTTCAACAAAAACTAGAGTAAGGCTTTACCAGCAACGCCTGAATAGTAGATTGGATGAATTAGAATGCAAAACGAAAGTCAAAATCAACTCCACAATCGATTCTATTGAATCAACTGGATACTTAAAGTCAACTGGATACGCTCTGGATCAACTGGATACGCTCTGGATCAACTGGATACGCTCTGGATCAACTGGATACGCTCTGGATCAACTGGATACGCTCTGGATCAACTGGATACGCTCTGGATCAACTGGATACGCTCTGGATCAACTGGATACGCTCTGGATCAACTGGATACGCTCTGGATCAACTGGATATGCTCTGGATCAACTGGATACGCTCTGGATCAACTGGATACGCTCTGGATCAACTGGATACGCTCTGGATCAACTGGATATGCTCTGGATCAACTGGATACGCTCTGGATCAACTGGATACGCTCTGGATCAACTGGATACGCTCTGGATCAACTGGATATGCTCTGGATCAACTGGATACGCTCTGGATCAACTGGATACGCTCTGGATCAACTGGATACGCTCTGGATCAACTGGATACGCTCTGGATCAACTAGATACGCTCTGGAAACAACTGGATACTTCAAGTTCATGATCTTAAATCTTAAAAAAAAGATCTTAAAGCTTTCGGAGATCTTGAATGTCTTGAAAAAGCTTGAAAAATATTTCAAATCGTTTCTTTTATGTTGCTAACTTTCAATTGAATATTATTGAATAGGAAAGTAGTGTATAATGTTGTTTATCAACTGTACGTACTATCTGTATCTGTACTGTACTGTACGTATCCAAATGAAATTACTGTATAATATTTCTAGTAAAGTTTGATCTTTATATAACTCCTAGATTTGGGCGATTTGGATACCGGTGAAGACAAAGACACAAGTGAGAGCCTAATATGTAACATAATACTGTAAAGCCTAATATTGCATTAATTGATGATACTAAAGCGTACCAGTGAACGATAACAGCTTGAATATTTCTTGAGATTAACAATCACTATGAGATATCAACTCAAGAAGCATTGTCTGCCTTTAAGTGTTTAGTTCTTTAAATTTAAAAAGATTGAAACATTCCATTATCCAATTTCTTCAGAATTCGATTTCCAGTGAATTCTGATTTCGAGAACTGTCATAAAAACATCGTTAAAATCGTCAGATCGTTAAACTTTTTCCATAAACTCTTTTCCAAATTGATGCTAGTCTTTAAGTAAATTTTTCTGAAAAAGGAAGATTCTGTAACATTCTAGAAGTGATTGTGAAGAAGAAGAAGAAGAAGAAGAAGAAGAAGAAGAAGAAGAAGAAGAAGAAGAAGAAGAAGAAGAAGAAGAAGAAGAAGAAGAAGAATTCGAGTGGATGTTGTCAACGAGAGGAAATTCCCAGGCTTTCCCCCGCCCGCGCAACTCGAAATCGGGGAAGCGTCAGAATTTCTACACCACACCCACTGGAAAAGTTTTTGAAATTTTAAGTACCAGTCATATAGCATATAGCTTGACAATAGAAATCCATTTTATGGTAGAGCAAAAAGGTGAAAACAGTCTGACGTCAGATCTGGGACTATGACGGGAAATTTAAAAGTCAATGCTAACCAAGCCAAGCTAAGAGGTTGTTTTGGCTTCTGTTCTTCTGTCCAGTTCTGTTCTTCTGCCCAATTCTGTTCAGCTGTTATTTCTACCCTAAGATCGACTTCTATTTGATTTCAAATCAGAAAAAAAAAATATATAAAAGTATATAGAATAGTTTTCTGTATCAGACTTTTAGCTGTCCAAATCTAGTGAGCTCAAATCCTGAAAGTTAAGATTAAAGTTTGTGATCTGATATACGTTCGTTTTATGGTAGAGAAATAGGTAGAGTAGAAGAATTGATTGATAAAAAAAATCTGGTAATAGATCTATTCAGAATACAGAATACAGAAGAATCCCAAGATGTCATGCCGGACTTTGAACTCTAAAGTATTAGGCTCCAGGCTTTTCATTCCGTACATCCGTTTAAAACCAATAAATGCATCAATTAAACTCTGGTTTGTTTCATTAAAAAGGCCAAAAAGGCCAATTATTGTTCTGCAAAATCACATTAAAACGGGTTTCAAATAGAGTGTTTTCCTCGAGTGAGTAAGTAATTACTCGAGTAAAATCTGCATCTACTCGATTAATCGACGTTTTTGTTCGAGAGTAACTACGAGTAATCCTCTTTACACGTCGAGTAAATTGAATATCTTTACTTGTGAAGGGAATTTGCCACCAAATCAGTTAAACGGCTGAATATCTTTAAAAAGAGTCGTATATAAGTCGTCGCTCGTGATTTTTTTTCGCGAGAGACATTACTCGAAACATTACTCGAAACATTACTCGAAACATTACTCGAAACATTACTCGAGACATTACTCGAGACATTACTCGAGGCATTACTCGAGACATTACTCGAAACATTACTCGAAACATTACTCGAGACATTACTCGAGACATTACTCGAGACATTACTCGAGACATTACTCGAAACATTACTCGAAACATTACTCGAAACATTACTCGAAACATTACTCGAAACATTACTCGAAACATTACTCGAGTGGAACACACTCTAGACTTATATGATTAGATTTTTCAAAGGTTGAAAAGTAAAACTGAAAAACAAAAACAAATTTGGACTAGATATTGGCTTATCAGCCTGTCTTGATCCATCTTTCTTTCCATATTTCTCAATATACTTTATTTCATTCGAAAGCTTTTGAGATCCTCTATTTTTTGAGCTATAGATTATCTTAATGCGATAGATTTGAATAGAGTGTTTTCCTCGAGAGTAAGTATTTACTCGAGTAAAATTTGCCTGAGTAACTTTTACTCGATTAATCGACATTTTTGATCGAGAGTAACTACGAATAATCCTCTTTACACGTCGAGTAAATTGAATATCTTTACTTGTGAAGGGGAATTTGCCACCAAATCAGTTAAACGGCTGAATATCTTTAAAAAGAGTCGTATATAAGTCGTATATAAGATTTTTTGTGCCAATTTTTTGCAATAATTTTCGCTAAAAGTACGGTAAAGTACGGTAATTTTTCCTAAGTGTGCGTTCTAAAAAAAGCGCATTACTCGTGAGGAAAACACTCTAGTTTCAAATGTTTTATGTTTGAATTTTTTTGAGAGGGTGAAGTCGAGTAGTCAAAAATGGTAGCTTGATGATGCAGTTTAGGTGGTACCTTTAGGTGCTGTGGGAGATCGTTTTTTCAATTCAAAGAGGCCACAAAAATGAATCTTTCTCTATTGGCTCTTGGAAATGTAATCTTAGCTCTTGTTGATGGAAAGAGTAAACATATTCCATACAGAGACTCAAAGCTCACTCGATTGTTACAGGTAAACAATTGAATATAAATTTGGCCATAAAATTCCTGATGATGCCAGTTTAGCGTTAGGGAAATCGATATTCTTATAGCTAAAAGCTAAAAGCTATCAATAGCTAAAAGATAGAGCATAAAAAATTGCGTATATAGCTAAATTTTCAGAGAACCACTTTTAGCCATTCAGCCAATTTCTTTGTAGAGAATTTCTGAACCCCGAAAACCCGAAAACTCTCGAGTTTACAATGTAAGTAAACCGAAATTGACTTAAAAAAGATGGGAAACTTAACAATAAACAGTAAAAGATGTAGAATAACTTGTGAATGTACAAGATTTCGAAGTATACAGTCGATTTATGCACATCTTCTCTTAGCAACCCTATCAACCCTGTCATTTCCCGTCACATCATCTCTATTTTTCTCTGTTAATGCTATTTTTTGTTCTCTTTTTTATGAAATAATTAAGAATTTCTTCTCTTCTTCTTTTCTTCTTTTCTTTTCCCTTCTCGCATTTGAAATGAAAGCACCGCCCCATCCTTGAGATGTCTCACGATTTCCCCTCCAATCTTGAAACCACTTTTCTCCTGCTCGTTCTCCTCTCCGAGTGGCCCCCTTTTCCCTAACATCATCCCCATCAACTCAAGCAAAGGTACGGTAGATTTATTTTTCTTTAAACTTAGCGATATTTTTAGGAGACTGGATTAGAGTTAGATATGCTAACTTAGACTTTAACTATTGGGTTGGTGGAAAAGTTCTTTCCGATTTTTTGGGAGAGCACCTTAAATTTGTCGAATTTTGACGTTTCCAATGTCCAATTTTGACGCTCATCCTAAAGCTGAATTCAAGATGGATCGATTGATAAAAACCGTTTTGAGATATCTCTTTTCTAAAAGTTTTTACAGCTATTTTAGTAAAGGGCGGCAGAGCCAAAAAATCGCTGTTTTCACGTTTCGTTAGTTTTCCGTACAGAAAAAAAAATGCAGAAATGCGTGTCTAGGGGTTATTTTTGACGCTGATCACGAAACACATGTTTTTAGCCTAGATTTCTGCACGGAAAACTAACGAAACGTGAAAACAGCGATTTTTTGGCTCTGCCGCCCTTTACTAAAATAGCTGTAAAAACTTTTAGAAAAGAGATATCTCAAAACGGTTTTTACCAATCGATCCGTCTTGAATTCAGCTTTAGGATGAGCTATAAAATGTCAAAATTGGACAAATTTAAGGTACTCTCCCAAAAAATCGGAAAGAACTTTTCCACCAACCCAATACTTAACTAAAATTGACGACTAACAAAAACAAACAAAAACTACCGAAAAATACTTAATGTAGGTTATTTAGAGAGACAAGGATTACGATAAGATTACGATAAGATTATGAAAAGATTACGGTAAATGGGAAACAGTTTAGTCGCGAGAAGTCAAATGAAACTTATGAACTCTTTAGTAAGGTTCTAGATTATCTTACCTTTTATCTACAATCTAGCCCAGTTCTAGATTGTAGATTGCAAGAATTGTAAAAGTTATGACCTGCAGTAATCTTATCGAATCTTTGTGTTTTGGGAATTCAACCATTTCCCCCGCAAGTTGCCATTTGTGGAAGTGGATTCTTTTCCTCAATTTCCCATTCATTCAATTGGTCCCAAGTGGGAACGGCTATTTTTTAGAGATCTCAAAATATCTCGCAATTTTTGACCTTCTTTTTCTTAGATTTTTTTGAGTTCCATTCATCAAAAAGCTTTGAAATAAAAGCTTTGAAATTTAAACCTCAAAAACTACGCAATCATAATAAAAGTTTAGCCACAAGGGGATTTCTTTAGATTTAAATTTTACTTGAAAAGTTCTTGAGTAGAATTATTTTTTGAAAGCTGTATAGTGATTGTCATCGAGTGCTTTGAGCTTAACCTAAACCCGCCCTGTATAGTGATTGTCATCTAGTATAGTGATTGTCATCTAGTGCATCGAATTTGTCAAGTTTTCCTTGCCAATCGAGTACGCTAGCAAGGATGTGTTTACAAGGCAGATAGTGAGCAAAGAGTTTTCTAACAAATCTCCGCTCACAATCTGAGCGCAAGTAAACGACTCATTTGGCTCTATTTTCACTAAGTCATTTGAAATTTGTGAAAATTTCCTCTAACTAGGCCTTGTTTTTCCCCTTTTTTTTCCTTTTCCATTCACTAATTCCTTCCCATCTTTGATTGAATTCGATAGATGAGCCAAGAACGAAGGGTTTGAGTGGAGAAAAACACGGCCGAATTCCTAATCTTAATTATTTTCCATCAGTCGGTGCTAAAAAAAATCGCGCATTTCCATCTTAAGTAGGTGATGAAAGAGGGAGGAAAAGGGCAAAATAAAAATGGATATCCGATTGACGTTTTGACGAAAATGCGATTCTTTTGGGCGAAAAGTTCATGCTTAGAAATATAGGATGTCCCAAAAAAAACTCCATTTCGGGTCAAATTTTAGAAATACAGTACTGGACAATGAAATATGATATTTGAAAAACGATCGTCACTTTCGCGCGTCTGTAACTCCCTTGTCTTTGAGTTTAAACTATTAGTGTTATACATTTTCTGGAAGCTCTTTCCAAGGGCTACACGATGGTAATATTAATATTTAGAAATACGGTAAAGACAAGGGAGTTATAGACGCGCGAAAGTGACGATCTTTTTTCAAATATCATATTTCATTGTCCAGTAGTGTATTTCCGGTGGCTCAAGGTAGTAGGAGTGGGAAAATGATTTTTTTGAGGTCGGGAAATCTTGCTGTTTTTTTCATTTTCACGATATCATGCTCCTTTATGCAAGAAATTTCAGAGTTACCATGATCACCACCATCAGACTTTTCCCATAAAATTAAAACTAAACTGGCATTGTGGTGCATAATAAACACTATTAGGATAACTACAAATTTTAACCATTTTATTGAGCCAAACACTATTTTATTTTAGTCAAACACTTTATTGATCAGCGTTTCGTTTGGAAAAACGGGGCACTTTCTTTTAAAAAAGGCCATCTGAAAATCTCTTATATATGACAGATTATCATATAATGTGGGAGTGGGACAAATGCTACCTTTTTTTGCGCACCTGGACATTTGCGCACCTTTTTTCCGCACCATTAGCGCACTTTTTTCGCTTTTAAAAAAGCTCTAAAAGCTAATATTAACCAATTTCTATTCCAAAAGTCGTTTTTCTAGGTAATTTGAGGGCGTAGAATCGAAATTTTGGCATATCAGAGCTTGTGGAAACAAACGGACGGAGTTATACAAAGAGAAAAATCAACAATTCTCTGTAATTTGACCTAGCCGTTTTGTCTTTCAAATTGGTTCCACACGCTCTGTTATGTCAAAATTTGAATTCGACACCCTCAAATTACCTAGAAAAACAACATTTGAAATAGAAATTGGTTAATATTAGCTTTTTAGAGCTTTTTTAAAACGCGAAAAAAGGTGCGCTAATGGGCAAGGTGCGGAAAAAAAAGGTGCGCAAATGTCTGGGTGCGCAAAAAAAAGGTCGCATTTGCCCCACTCTCTATAGTGTAGATGAATAAAGTGTTTGGCTAAAAAGCTAAAATCTTAGTTTATATATTAACTCTAATATGACAACGCGATGCCAGTAGAGGTTTTATTTTATGGTAAAAGTCTCATTGTGGTGGCTCATATGGTGATGGTGACCATGGTGGCGAGGAAATTTCATGCATAGAGGGTCATAATCTGCTAAAAATCATGAAACAACCAGAATTTCTCAATCACAAAAAAATTCGCACCATACCTACTACCTTGAGCCACCAAAAATATTTTTAAAATTTGATCCGAAGTGGATTCCTTTTTGAGCACACCCTGTAGCTTATCCATGCCAGTTTTCTGGTCATATCTCAGAAAAAAAAAACAGCTATCTATCTGGAGGGTGTACCAGACGGCGAGCGATTACACGGCTTTAAAGAAAAGAAGAAGAACATAAAGAACACTATGACAGTTATTTGCTTTATTGATGATACAAAAAGATATTCAGCTTTGAATTTGTACCCGGGGATTTTCGGAGTCGGCAATCGATTAGAGCTATTCATTTTATTGAGTCAAGAGTCTGGAAAGCTTGGCAAGTGAACCGATCCAGACAACTTTTGTTCTAAACTGGTGGATATTCAAACTTAGAACATTTCATTCGAATTTTGCTTTAAATTCTTCAAACTTTAAACCTTTTTGAGCATTTTTGAGCAGCTATTTCCACTAGAGTCCCATTTTAAAGCTAAAACTCTTCTTATCACTATCAAAAATTCGAAATAACCAAGAGAAATCGCTCCTACATGCTTGAAATACTTTAAACTTTCCTCAAAAATGGCATTTTATTTGATTTTTTTAAACACATTTTAAGAAATAAAACTGCAACTGAAGAAGAAAGCTTGATGAAAAGAAGTGTTCATTCAGCTTCCCCAAAAAGCGTGATTCTTTACGATTTTTGGTTCAAAAACATGTGTATGAAATATGAAACCAAGTCAAAAAAAAAACCGGAAAAAAAGGCAAACTAGTTATTTCATTTATACAAGATTTCTCTGAACTAAACGCTTTCGATAAAACTTCAACTTTCAGATGTTTTCCATTCGATTTTCGTCATTTTTGGCAGTTTCCCTTCTTCAAATTGTCACCTCAGATTCGATTGAACAAGACCATCAAAGGATACGCAAAAGTCCTTTGGGTAACATTGATTAAGCTTTAAAATATCGAAATCTAAAGTAGAATATCAATAGCTTGGGTTACTGTAGCTAGGCTAAGCTAAGCTAACCTAACCTAGCCTAACTGTATTTAATTAAATATTCAGCTGACTACTCGGATGCCATTCAGCCGTTCATCCGTTTCCGACGAGCCGGCGATGAACTTGATGAGGGAAATCTACAGCATTTCTTGCGATTTAGGTAAAAATCTAAAAAATTGATAGACTATAAAATAAGGACACGATAGAATGATTTAATAGCTTTAAAAAAAGGGTCTACAAATAGGGATCTAAGCCAAGACAAGTTCAAAAGCTTTAAACAAAGGAAAAGCTCAGTAGAACGATTAAATAGCCTTAAACAAAGGGTTGCCACTGATGTAAGCCAAGGCAAATCCAAAAGCTAGGCCCAGATCCAGGTTCAATTTCCGGCCCAGTTCGAGGTCCAGATCCAGGTCTGACGAAATTTGCGGGCCTTACCTTATTTGCCCTGGTCCTTTAACAGCCATTTTGTAACAAAGTTACTATAGCTAAAGTTGTGCAGTTAATACTAGACGATACTAGACAATGCTAGACTTTTTCTTATTCTTTGAGCTACGTAAAGGCATTCTTTCTGGTGCACTAATCATTCATATCAACGATTTGAGTGCATCAGAAAGGATGTATTTACAAGTTTTTGAACATAAAGTATAAGCATCCAGAGTTTTCCATGAGTATGATGAACTTTGATGATTCGCCTAGGTTGTAAAAATGAATCCAAATAAAGTACGAGAGTCAAAAAAAAGTTCCTTTCTAAAAGCAATACGAAAATTGTGCAGAAAATCGGCTTCATCACCCGATTTCATCGACCATTTCATTCGTTTCCGAAGGAGCGGAGGTGACGAGAATCTTCAGCCATTCCTTCGTTTCAGGTAAAGCATGATAGGTAAAATAAAAATAAAGATGTAAGGTAAATAAAGATTTAGATTGAATTTAGGTTATCTCTAAAATAATATCCGTAAAAGAATTGTTTTTTCGCTTAGAAATTTCAATCTCTAGACGTCAATTCGACGATTTGCACCCGTTTTTGCGCTTTCGGCGATCCGTTGATGTCGATCAACAAAAAGGCGTTCAACAACAAGAAATGGTAAATGAAAAAAGTTAGAAAATAACTTGTTAACTAAGTTTTCTTAACTAAATATCTCATTTTTCAGAACCAACAAAAGCTTCGACCCGAGCGTTCGTGGTAAAAAGAAAAAAACAAAGTTATAATTGTTTTTCTCGTTTTTTGATAGAATTTTTCAAATGTGGTGCATTGAAATAAACGTGGTCGATGTTTGATTTGAAGAAAAGGTTTTGAAAGCACACTCAAAAAATACAGAAATCAAAGTGAAACCTAGGATTTGTATGGAAATTATCTTTTCTTCAATCAACAATCCTTTAAACGTCTCACAATCAATGATTCCGGTCGATTCAAAACTTTTTGGTCAATGAGAAATTCAAAAACCGTGAAGATATCCAAAATTGGGTCGCCAAATTTTTCGAGTCACAGCCGGCTGAGTTTTTCAAGAGCGGCATCAATTCTTTGCGCAAAAGATGGCAAGAAGCAATCAATAATAATGGTGAATATATTTTGGATTAAACTGTGTTGTTTCTGTTTTTAAGGTAAATTTTGTCGACTACTAAAACGCTCGTTTATATCCGAACAACCTAATAAAAGTTAAGTCAAATCATTTCAACTTTCAATGTTAAAAACTAAAAATTATCATTTTGCGGTTGGCGAAGAACCTGTATCCGTTCCGTCTTGACCAACTTCATGACTGCGAGCCACAAGTTGGTGTTCATCCGCTCGCAGAGGTCGATCACTAAAACTCTCGAAAAACGCACCAAACTCCACGGGTCCACGGCCAGTCAGCCCTGAACAAAGAATTATAATTAAGAGCACCACAAGCTGGAATACCTTAACCCAGTTGCCGGGATCAGAAAGAGAAAAACAATGCCCATTGATGAATTGGGCAGGCCTTGAGGATAAGGCAAGTTGCTAAAATTACACTTTAAATCGACAAGTAACAGAAAAAACTTACCGCAGCTGCTCAATCGGCTGTATCTGTGGTGAGAGTCCAACGGGCATCCAGAGAATGCGAGACCACAAAGAGGCATCCAGTTGAATGTGTCTTGGAAATAATAAAGACTAACAAATGAAAAAGGCCAAGATTTTTGGGGTTGTTCGACAAAATATGTTTTGAAATTTAGTCAAAACAAAATGGGTCAAGCTATTAATGTGTAACTGGCCAGTTTGATGAGCCGATTTGTGAATTCCCACCGGAAAGCTTTCCTTGCAACGATTCGTTGACTTGTGTAACGTTTATTCCTAGAAAATAAATATTAGTTGATAAATACGCCTTTAATTTTAGGGAGCGAATTCAGGTACAATCGAGTGAATTTAGGTATATTAGAAATAATACTTTCTTTTTTTCAAAATTCTTTCTTTTGACACCAAACTCCTGGTCATAGGTCAAAAATTAAATGTTTGGTGCAACTTTTTCTCCTGGCGTAAGTGAAGGGAGGGCTTATGGGACCTCTAATAGAAGCGCATGCTCTAATAGAATGAACTTTCATAGCAATGTTATTCACAATTATATTCCAATAAAAAAGCCAGAGAAAAATTTATTGTCACCGGGAAGTCAACAAAAACGTTCACATGAGAACAAGGACGTAAGTTAAAGCAGCACTTGATCGAATGGCAGATGAAACGATAAAGAAACCATTGAAAAGGCGAGAAGAGCCGTCGATGAGAAGACGAGTTGTTACTCTTGCTGCTGCATTCGCACGACCTTGGCAGTTGGGCGGTACACGTCGAAGGTGCATTGGAGATCTTCGTTCACCTAAAGAAAACAAATTAAAAACCCATTAAACTTAACAGTCCTTGTGCAATAATTTGAGAAGAAATATGATACCTTCATGGTGGCTGCCGAGTTGTCAAATTGTCCGCAATAGTGGGGTGCAGAGAAGATGGTGACCTAAAGGAAAAAGGTTAAGCAAGCCAAAGATTTCCAGCATTTTGTGCGAGAAAGACAACTTACCATTTTGCGGCTGGCGAAGAACTCGTATCCGTCTTGAACGACTTGATGAGCGCGAGCCACGAGATCGATGTTCATCCGCTCGCAGAAGTCGATCACCACATCTTGTCCAAAAACGTACGACACACCACGGTTATTTACCTCCCAGCCCTAAACAAAGAATTTGTAATCAAGAACGCCACAAGACGGAATACCTTAACCCAGCGGTCGGGATCAGCCCAGAGAAGATCGATGCCTATCGATGGATTGGGTGGGTCTTGAGGACGAGTCAAGTTACTAAAATTACACTTAAAATTTTTATACTTGCGTAACAGAAAAAACTTACCGTAGCTGCTCGATTTGCTGTATCTGTGGTGAGAGTCCACCGTGCATGCAGAGAATGCGAGTAGCGATGAGACCGCAAAGAGGCATCCAGTTGAATGTGTCTTGGAAACATTGCCACAGACGCTGGCTCTTGTAGCGACGGTTGCACTCCTCGTAGAAGCCGTAGACACGATTGATAGCGGGACACTCGTGATTGCCGCGAAGCATGAAGAAGCTTTCAGGGTACCTAAAATCGTCCATGCTAGATTATAATAACCATAAAGATTAAATCCTCACTTGATTTTGTAGCAAAACATGAGCGAGATGGTTTCGATATTCTGTTGGCCACGATCAACATAGTCGCCCAAAAGATGAAATTGGCATCAGGTGGAAAAGTGGTCTTTTCGAAGATACGCAAGAGATCGGAATACTAAAAAGCAACAACAATAAACCCAGTACTTTCAAATAAGCATACCTGTCCATGAATATCCCCGCAAACAACAATTGGTGGCCCGACTTCGATGAGTGATGGTTGAGACATGAAGACATTCTTTGCGAAGCAACACAGAGACTTCAGTTCGTCTTCTGAAACCTAAACAAAACAAATAAAATTAAGAATTTCTTTAATTTCGCATTGTTGTTGAGCAGCTCGTCCTACGACTAGAACAAATAAAAGAAGCCAGAAATCCAGCCGCGATAAAACGCCAAAACAAAAATAGTTTTAAAAAAGCAAAAGCACTCACGCATGTCGTCAAACGTCCTCCGGCCATTCCAACGTTGAGAAGGCGGCCTATCATGTCATCGATGTTGACTTGTCCCATCTTGAGAAGAGCTCCGATGAAGGTTTGAGTAGATGAGAAGAAAAGGTGCCATCTAAACAGTTGAACTTTCTTTTAAATCCTGGATCAATGCAAATTACGTGTTTTAAGATTGAAATTTTGGAGTTGATATGACTTTCCGGGGTTTCAAGTGGGATTAAAATCGTTTACCGCTCAAAAACGGTACCTAATATTTTTCAAGAGCATGCCCCATGCTAAAAAGTGTTTATTTTGTTTTGAAATTCCCATTGCAAAAGGCTTTTCTTTAGATTGTCTTTTCCCAACCACTCTCTGATAATGGCAATGAAAGTCAAATGTCTAGGAAAAAGTCCACGGGGGATCCACTGAACACACAACTCTTGAGCATTGCTTTCAATTGGGTATTTTGATGACTTGAAAAATAACGAAAGGCGAAGGTATTTTAGAATTTCTAAACAGTAAAGACGGAGCCCCTACCCGACAAATGTGCCAACTTTTCCTTGATTAAATTTTAAGTAATATATGCTTTATTCAGGGGCAAATAAAAGCGAATCAGATAATCATAGAAGCACATAACATATCGCCATAATTTTGCACAGAAAAGAAAGAACTCAAAATAGCACACTAAAACTACAGACAGGAAACAGACACAAAAAAATCTAAACACAAGAAAAAGATATTTGTGGCCCTAAAGAGGGCCGTTGGGTTGGGGGTTATCGTTTGCTGAGGTTATTTGCCTCTAATCTGCCTCATCATTCCCGGTCTTGTCGCCAGCTTTGTACTTTGCAAGAAGAACTGGTTGGATATGGGGGACCACGCCTCCTTGTGCGAACGTGACACCCTGCAGCAGTCTATCGAGCTCCCTCGTCGTTCTTCACAACCAGCATCAGATGTCGTGGACTAATGGTCACTTTCTTGTTGTCACGAGCTGCATTGCCCGCCAATTCGAGGATTTCCGCGACGAGATACTCCAGCACAGCGGCGAGGTAGACTGGAGCTCCACCACCGATGCGTGCTCCATATTTGCCTTTCTTGAGCATTCGATGAATTCGTCCGACGGGGAAGACGATCCCGGCCCGGTTTGTCCTTGATCGCGCCTGCTTCTTTCCCGATCCGCGCCCAGTCATTTTTGTTGGTTGAGGATTCAGCCGGTCTTCAGCCTGGTAACGAGGGAAACAAGGATAAAGGAAAAGAGCGCCTTATATAGGGTCTGGTGCGAGGGGGCGGGATTTAGCTTGCCAATGGCAAAGTCTCGCCAGAGGGGGCGGGGTTTTAGCAGGCTGAAGGCTATTTTTGAGCCTTTAGCGCACGACATCCCGTTTTTCCTGCAGTCTTACACATTTCGTTGCATCATGCACATGGTTTTCTTTCTCTTTCTCAAATTTCATAGACCTCTCACTTAATTTTTGGTTTAGGAAGAACAAAGATGGATCGACTCTTGCGTCTCGGAGCACATGCTTTACAGGTAAAAGTCTTTCGGTTTTTTGGATAAACCTTTCGCTTTTCTTGTGCCATTTTTACTTTTTTATTCAGGCAAATGCAACACCGACTGATTCGAATCAAGTGGACACTTCAGAGACTGTCTACATCTCATCACTGGCCTTGTTGAAAATGCTCAAACATGGCAGAGCAGGAGTTCCAATGGAGGTTGGTTAATTAGAATCTCTTTGTTGTTAAGATCATTGATAATGTCTTTAGGTGATGGGTCTAATGCTGGGTGAATTTGTCGACGACTACACTGTAAACGTCATCGATGTTTTTTGCAATGCCTCAAAGCGGAACGGTAAAAACGAAGTTTCCTAGTTTCTTTTACACAATGATTTAGGGTGTTTCTGTGGAAGCGGTGGATCCTGTTTTTCAAGCCAAAATGTTGGATATGCTAAAACAAACAGGAAGGCCAGAAATGGTTGTTGGGTGGTAAGTGTAGCTTGGAAAAATCTAGCTATAAGGTATGTTTAGGTACCACTCACATCCCGGATTTGGATGTTGGCTTTCAGGAGTTGACGTGAACACGCAACAGTCTTTTGAAGCTTTATCCGACCGCGCCGTAGCTGTTGTTATTGATCCAATTCAATCAGTCAAGGGAAAGGTCGGAGCTAACTTGAACTTTATTTTTACTAAACACCATTTTTTAGGTTATAATCGATGCTTTTCGAACAATCAACCCACAAAATGCGGCTCTCAATCAAGAGGCTCGTCAAACAACGAGCAACATCGGGCATTTGCAGAAACCTAGCATTCAAGTAAGGCCATTTGCAGAAAAATTCTCCCATTTTACTCTTTCAGGCGCTTATCCACGGATTGAATCGCCACTATTATTCCATTCCAATTGCTTATCGACCACATGAACGAGAGCAGAAGGTTTTTTAAAAGTTCAAATGAAATTACCTTCCCTTTTTAGATGCTCCTCAATTTGCACAAAAAGTCTTGGAAGGATGCGATCAATGTAGTCAACTATACGCAGCATGGCGGACAAAATGAAGAAGCGATGAAGAGCATGCTGAAATTGGCCAAAGCATACAAAAAAGTGAGTTGCTGTTAGAATTAAAAGCTAAACTTTATTATTAGATTGTTTTCTTATCAAAATGACCATTTTTATGATTCCAGCTATATTTCGATTTTAGTCCCTCGAAGAAGAGGAGAAAATGTCGGAACGTGAGCTTGAGATCAAGAATGTCGGAAAATGGATCCCAAGCGTCATTTGGGAGAATTGGTAAAAACATTGAGCTTCTTGTTTGCTTCATTTTGATTTTTAGGTGAATCAACTTATGGCTGACAACCTCGTGCAAGGCCTTTGCGGAATCATCGATGCTGAAAGTCTCAAGTAAAATCCGATTGTCATATTCATTTCTTCTTGTTCTTGTTTTCGTATTTATACCTTAAATAAATCTTGCTTATCCTTTTTTGTTACGGTTGCTTTGATGTTTGATTCTGTGATAAATTTTAAAGATGAGAATAAAAATTTTTGATTAATAGTTACGACATCTAAAGCCTATGTGATTACATCATGCAAAAATATTTTGAGTTTTGCGGCAGCGAAACCTTGAAGTGGCAATTTTTATAATTTCAGATAAAAATTGTAACTTGATCAAGGTTAGAAAGAAAATGCGATTTTAGTGTTGATGAGTTCGTCAAGATCGTTTCTCCAGGCGTTTCGTCCTTTTTGCAACAATCTATCGCTTCGCGGATACAAAGCGGCCGTTGTTACAGAAATTGGCAAGCCTCTAGAAGTTAGGTGAGACGAGATATATTGGTGCTTTTTTCATCCATGCCATTTTAGAGATCTTCCTTCAAAGGAGCCAGGCCCCAATGAGCTTGTCGTTGAAGTAGAAAGCTGTGGTTTCAACTATGGAGATTGGAAAATGATTAAAGGAATGTATCATTTGAAGCCAAAGAGACCATTTGTACCAGGTTTGCATCTCAACAAATTTTTTAATTTTTTTGTGTAGGCTTTGAGCTGGCTGGCAATGTTAAAAAAGTCGGTGAAAAGGTGCAAAAATGGAAAGCCGGTGACCGGGTTTTGGTGTTACGGTAATTTTTCACACGTAAATAGTAAATGTGAAAGATCTAAAATGCCATCAGGGCATAATTCACTTTTTGTATTTAGGAGACATGGAACGGGCGGTTTTGCCGAAGAATGCATTGTTAAGGAACACGATTTGATTTACAAGTAAATTTGCAGGAATTATCAAGTTATCAAATCAAATTTTATTTTAGCTTACCGTTTTCTATCAATTACGAGACAGCGGCAGCTGTAGCAGTCACCTATGGAACAGCCTATGTTTCTTTGGCAAATATGGCTCGTGAAAGACAGGGGTGAATTTTTTATGCGTTGTAGAAGTAAAGTTTATATTTGATTCGGTAGATCGCTTCCCTCAAAAGATTCCAAAAGCAGGTAAGACGTGTTGTAGATTAAGAAGTTGTTTTGTCTGTTACGCCTCTAACGCTTTCTAAAGCAAAATGTAGACATTCTACTCTTTAATGAGGGAGTATTTATGAACTTAAAATGTGTACTTCAGGAGTTCTGTTCTGGTCCTCTCCGCTCGTGGTACTATGGGATTTGCTGCAATTGATCTAGCTCAAAACGTTTTTGCTGCTCAAGTAATATTTTTTCTTTTAAGATATAAAAAAGATAGTTCAGGTCTTTGCCGCTTCGGATGACGAAGAGAAATTAGAAAAACTTCGGACCACTGAGTGCAGCGAACGATCAACTGGGAGAAAGAAGATTTGGTTAAGGTAAACATTGTTCTGATTCAAATAGCTTGTAATATTTTGGAAGCTTATGGTTTTAAAAAGTAAGTTTATTGTGAGCTGTTATAGAATACCGTTGTTCAGGTGATTCGCAAAGATACTTTCAATGAAGGTGTAGACGTGGTTGTCGATACTGTTGGTGGAAAAGTCTTTCACACAGCTTTGGAATCGTAAGTGTTTGACTAATCTGTTGTTATATTTAAAAATCTAGGCTGAAGAAAGGTGGTCATTTGGTCTCGCTCTCGTTTGCATCTGGCGAAATTCCTTCAGTCTCATTGTTAGATCTACATCGGTTACAAGCAACTGTAACAGGTAAATAAAGATTATTACTGATGCTGGAATGCTTCGTTTGCAGGTGTGTGGTTGGGTGGACGAACGGCTTCTGAAATTGATGCGATAATGTCGACGATTATTGGACTTTTTGACGAAGGCTACTTGAGTGCTCGAATAGAAGCTAAATATGGTCTCGATCAGGTTCGTATTAAATTATGGCAGCAAAGTTTCCTTTATAGGTGAATCAACTTGTGAACGACATCGAAACAAACAAAATTTTGGCAAAGTGATTGTCAATCCAAAAGGAGTCATTTAGAAATCTTTGCTCTAATCATGTTCATTGGTATATAAATATTTTATATGTTATTGCTATCATTTTTTGTTTGTATATATTTTAGTTGTTGCAGGTTAGTCGAATAAAAGTTTTGAATTCATTTGCAATCTCAAATAAAGCGTTACTTTGCTTAGAATTTCTCAAATTTAGCTCAATACGTCGCAAGCGTACTTATGAAATGTAAGATGAAGCGTTACTTTGCTTAAAATGTTTTAAATTAATTCAATTAAGTCACGTATTGCAGACGTTTTAGATGTTAAGGAGGTTATGCACGAAAACAATATGCACAAGGCGATTGTGGGAGCCTGGCACCTCGTCTCTAGAGGTGCATTTAAAGAAATGAATAAGAAATTAAATCTGAAAATTTAGTTTTACGTTTTGACGGCAAAACCAAATCAACTCCAAGTCAGATGCCATTCAAGATTTGTGATTTCCATGGAGAAAGCTTTGAATCATCTTGAGAATATCGTTTACGGTATGTTTCCTACTTGAATTCGCTAATTTGTAAAGCTTCTTTAACTTATATATTTTTAGCTAGACAAGCTCGAAATGGAGACCGATTAAAAAACGCACAACGGTTACGAAGTCAGAAACGAGACGAGCAAAACGAAAAAACGACTTCTGAATCCGAAGAATCGAGCGATAATAAAGACAAGGAGGAGAACGAGCAAGAGAAAAAAGCCGAGGAAATGGCGAGGAAAATATCAAGGGTAAGCGCTAGTTGACTCACTACAAGTCGGCAAGGCATAACATACAAAAATGTTAAAATTGTTTTTAGTTATTTGCGGTCGCCCTTTTCTGTGCGGGCATTCTCTACATGATCAACTCATCGGGTGATATTGGGAACAGTGTCGATGAAATTTCGTGGACCACATTCACCGAGCAGATGTTACCAACAAAAGCGGTAAAATATTTAAATTTGGTTTTTTATTTGATTGCATTTAGATACGAGAGATTGTCGTTTTCAACGAGAAAGAAATAGCTATTCTGCACATTTGAGCGATGCTCGAGGACTGGATGGAGAAAAGGTTTACTTAAAACGGCTATGATTATTCGATTTCTTACAGTTGAAACCAGTCTACAAACTTCGGGTTCCCTCGATAAGTCGGCTGAATCAGAGGTTAAAATCTCTTATTTATTCATCCAAGTTTTGCTTTAGCTTCGAGCCGCTGAAGCCGCTCTAAACATGCCGCCCGAATATTGGATTCCCGTCAAATATAAACGGCTTGATGAGATGTGAGAGATCTTGTTTTGTAGTTAATTTAGTATTTTCAATTTTAGAAGTTCAACCTTAAATCTGATATTTCTTGGTCTGCTTTTTGCTACCGGATATTATATCTTCAAGAAGGCCAAATTTTCAATTAATATGACGGACATGATGGTACTTTTTTCTCTTCTATTTGATTCATTTATTAATTTCAGGGCCAAATGACGAAACAAAAATTAAACATCATCGATCCCCACTCTCCAGATGGCAAGAAAGCTCTAAAGATAAAATTCAAAGTAAGGTTTAAATATATTCTAAAAAAATTTAACAAAACTTTCAGGATGTGGCAGGGTGTCATGAAGCCAAAGTTGAAATCAAAGAATTTGTCGACTACTTGAAGAACTCGAGCAAGTATACGGTAATCGCTTTTGTTAGATCTTTTAAAGTTATTTCTAGAAATTGGGAGCCAAACTACCAAAAGGAGCTTTATTGACTGGGCCACCGGGGTGCGGGAAAACGCTGCTAGCACGAGCTTTGGCCGCTGAGCACGGTTCCCTTCATCTCGATGAATGGAACGGAGTTTGTAGAAATGATTGGAGGTAAAAATATTTTACAAGTTTATTGGAGATTGTTAACATCAAAGGATCATTTTATTTGTTTGTTTTAGGTCTTGGTGCATCGAGAATACGAGGATTGTTTAAAGAAGCAAAACAACGTGCACCGTGTATCATCTATATTGACGAAATCGATGCAATTGGGCGGAAACGGAGCGAAGCTGGAGGGAAAAACGGTAATATTAGCATAGAGATAATTAGTTAGTAGGGATAGTTAGCGATAGTTGTTTTTCAGCCCAATCATTTTTAGGGTTTGCCGGTTCTTCCGAAGAGGAGCAGACATTAAACCAACTTCTCGTAGAAATGGATGGAATGGATTCAGCCAAAGGAGTTGTCGTCTTGGCTTCAACGAATAGACCTGATGTTCTTGATAAGGTGAAACAGATCAATTTCATGTAATTGATAAAAATTTAGGCTTTATTGAGAAGAGGTCGTTTTGATCGCCATGTCTCCATTGATCTCCCTACTGTTGCTGAACGGAAAGAGATGTTCGAGCTCTATCTCAAGTTAGAATATGCATATCTTATTCAAAATTTCTTTTGTAGGAAAATCAAGACCGATTTCGCCTCGACTAAGTACTCGGAACGACTTGCGCAAATGACACCTGGATTTTCTGGTTTGGTGTTATGCTTTTATAACATACGGTCATGTGCAAAAGTCCTTTAACACTCAATTTTCTAAAAAGTTTCATCAATTTTCTTTGATAAAGTTCATGGCACTCTTTAAGCCATTGATCATTGATCTTTTAGTTACACAAATATATGTACAATTTATTTATTCAAACGTTATCGCTATGCACAACACTTATTCATCGAGAAAAACCATAATTGTCAAAACACCCCTGAAAATCGTGGTGCAAAAGTCTTTTAACACAAGATGAAATTAAGCTATAATCAATGTTTTCGCGGTCCTCCTTTGTAAAAAGTACTTCTTTAATACGAGTAGGCATCGATGTAATTAATTCATCAAAAAATCCAGGTCCAATCCTCCTAAAAAATTTTACTGATATATGATTGATCCCAAACCATCCCGACCAATGTGCTTTTTCTTCATTCGAGAGAGTCACAACGCGACCCATTAAAAGTTTGGTTTTGTGTACTGACGAATTATCTTTAATCAACGAAAATCACTCGGGCCCAATCATCGACTGTTCAGCTTGAATATGTTCGAGCAAATTGAAGATGTTGCCTCCTGTGTTTGGCTGTCATTATAGGCTTGAGGGCAGGCTAGTATACAATGCTGCTTGAAGTAAGCGTCGATGCAAGGTCCAGCAGGAGATATTCTTGTTTGAAGTTTGCTTGAAAAGAATGACTCCATCGTTCAACGTCAAATTCAGATCCTTTTTGAAAGCTTTTGTAAGGAATCGGTCTTCATTCTTTGTTGTAATCCTCGGTCGGCCCTTTTTCCTACATCTGTGCACACTTCCAGACGCATTCATTTTTGCCGTAACAAGAGAAAATGTTGTGGGCGTACATCCTAAGAGGCGAGCAACGTCTTGTTGTGGCATTCCTTGCTTCCTTGCCTTGACGACCATTTCTTTATCCAGAGTTGACAAATACGCTCTTGGCATCTAAAAAAATAAATTAGTACCAGTAAATATGAAGCGAACAAAAATAATGAAAACTTTTGCAAGTGTTAAAAGACTTTTGCACCACGATTTGCAGGGATGACAATTATATTTTTTCTCGATGAATAAGTGTTGTACAGCGACAACGTTTGTGTAAGTAAATTGCACATATATTTGTGTAACTAAAACTATTAATAGCTTAAAGAGCGCCATGAACTTTGTCAAAAAATCGATGAAACTTTTTAGAAAATGTGTATTAAAAGACTTTTGCACATGACTGTAGTTAAATGTTTAGGAGCCGATATTCGAAATGCTGTCAATGAGGCAGCAATTAAGGCCGCCACCGATAATTTGTTGCAGGTGTCCGTCAAAGAAATGGAGTATGCAATGGACAAGATTATTGCAGGTAAAAGCTTTTACTTCTTAATTTTCAGTATTTTAAACTGGAGTTTTAAAACCTAAATTTTAGGGCCTGCAAAACGCTCTCGTACACTGGTAAAAGAAGAGCGAGCAACAGTTGCATATCATGAGGCTGGACATGCTCTTGTCGGATGGATGCTTGAACACACGGATGCTCTTCTCAAGGTATTGCTTTTGATCAAATCAAACTATTCAGTTTATCTAGGTTACGATTATTCCGCGAACATCAGCTGCCCTTGGCTTTGCTCAATATTGCCCAAGGGACAAAAAGCTGTTTACAAAAGAAGAGGTAATCTATTTAAAAGAAACTTTCAAATAAACCAACTTTAGCTTTTTGAGAGAATGTGCATGATGCTAGGCGGACGAGCTGCCGAGAATCTCAAGTTCGGTCGAATAACAACAGGAGCTCAAAATGATCTTGAAAAGGTAAAGAGCAGTAGTTTTTTTAATTTGCAGTTTTTTAGGTGACGAAAAGCGCAATGGCTCAAGTAAAGAATTATGGATTTTCGCCGATCATTGGGCCACTTTCGTTTGCGGTGCAAGATGAGAGAGCCGCCTCGTTTTATGAAAAACCCTACAGTCAGAAATTACAGGCGACTATTGATCAGGTTAGTGGCTTTGAATGAAATTAAACAATAGAGATATTTTGATCTTCGTTAATACACCCACAGATATTTTAGAATTTGGAAATGATCCTATATTCTAGTTCTTTTTTTCTAGGAAGCATCATTGCTTGTTGGACAAGCGTATCGAGCAACTGAAGAGCTTATTCAGAAGAACATTGACAAACTGGAATTGGTTCGGTTTTCTTTTGCATCGAATGTAAATTAAATTTTCAGATTGCACAAAGTCTACTAAAACATGAGGTTCTTTCGTATGAAGATGTGAAGAAGTTGATTGGACCCCCGCCGTTCGGAGAAAAACAGGTTGGCATTATTGTCATTGCAACAATTTTGTGGACTCTCAGGTGGTCGATCTCGTCGAGAACAGTCTACCGAAAGACGGTGAATGATCGTAGTATCGTAATCGTATAGTCAATAGGTATTTTTGTTGGTTTTCCTTTTTGGTTTTTTACCTAATTTTTATTGTAAATATTTATTTTGCAGATAAATGATTAGTTATGACACAAGCAATGAAAAGTGAGCAGTAATTTGAGCAATTGGCGGAGGGGAGCTGGCAATTACGCCCACATTTGGTTGAGCACAAGGAAATAGTGTTCGGTGGGCGGAACAATCCGTCCACCAATCACCGGATGAACAGAAGTGGAGAACTCGGCTTCACGACTGAAAGTGAAAAATGGTTGTTTAGCTAATAGACTTATCTATGATTTAGACGTTTGCTGCAATTCTTGATGATTGTAAGATCCTATGGTTCGGGGCAAAACTGCGTTTAGCTACAAACCTTCTCTTCATCTTCGCAATGGCGACCACGTAGAAGAGTGGGCAAAGGAGGGTGTAATAGGGATAGAACTGAAATAAGATTTTTTTTAGGTTTGTATTTGGCTTTTTTAGCTAGATTTATCATTTCCGCATTGCGATCTTGTTTATCTTACTTACATTTTCTAAAAATCTTACATTTATCAATCCTTGTGCTGTTTTTCGTGTCACATAGTCCAAATCGGGGAACCAACTGCGGATGGCAATCGAGAGAAGATTGTAGAGAATGACGGTGGTTGCGTGAAAGAGGATCACCGGTGAAAGGGCACACAGGGATAACTGAAGATTCGAACTTGCATATCAAACGTCATTTTACCTGTGAATATCGCAGCTGATAGGATAACTCGAGGCTCTTTTTCGTGGCTGAGCTGTAAAATGGAATTTCGCGTTTTAGCTATAGTATTTCTCATTCATACACGGGGCTTACGCTAGGTTTTCTTGGGTGTATTTTTTAGGAAAATATTGAACTAGTTTCCAAAAACATGTCGTCTTTTGAAAACTACCGTAATCCTGTCTCTACTTTTACCCTATAAATTTCGAATGCTTCGAGGGTTCACAGAGGATTGGATTGGATTGGATAAACGTGGATCGATTTGAATCAAGAATAAAGAAATCAAGGTTACGGTAGAAAAGTTTTAAAAGTTGACACTTTAGAAAACGCCTTATGAAAGACAAAAATAACAATTTCTACCGTCTTCTGATTTGTCGTGAGCAGAAATGAAGCAAAGAGAGATCCCCGAAAACGGTGATCACATCGACCGAGATCCCCAGAAATGAGAGTGCGTTCGCGATTGGGATCATCGACTGAAATGAGCTGATTACGGAGTTTCTTACTGGGAAAATCTCTTGAGATGAGCAAGCATATTTAAGCAAGCAAGCAAATCTTACACCCACCGGCGTGTCTTCCGTACAATTAAGCACATAGACATAGGTGTCCTCTTGGGAAAAAATCGAGACGAAAACGATGGCGATGATGACAATCATCTATAGGATGAGTTTAAAAGATAAGACTCGAATTGCTAGCTTAAATTTAGAAATATAAAATTTTCAGCTGCGCAGAGAAATGGTTAAGAGTTTCGGGTACTCTTGTGCCTTTTTCGACCATCTTTTGCATTTATTGGGCAATAGTAACAAGTAGTGGATTTCGTCTAGCGCCTGCAAAGAACTGCTTTTCAGTATAACGCACAAGAATGGACTGGGAATTCCGGCTATGAATCGGATCGTAGGCCGTAGTTATGCAATAGACGTTGACCTTTTGTAGAAAACGAGTTAGTCCCACGTTTTAGCAAACAGCTCTTGTTTTCTATTAGAAATAAAAATTGTATCCAGGCTTTAGAAAAAAGGGCTTTTTGCTAATGTGGAACTCGTTTTCTATTGTGCAATTTTGGCTCAAATAAAAGTACAGTCGACGCCAATTTGCTTGTATCTCTCCGATCCATTTGCCAAATTTAAGTTTTTCTTGTTTTTTTTTCAAAAAACTCAAGACTTTTCAATATTCCAAGAATTTATTGAAACTAAATTGACTGCTGTAAATCTGTAGAGACGAAAAGAGAACTGTAGAAAGCCCGGTGAAAAGATGTACCGGATTGTACTGGATTTAGGCCCAGATCAAGCCCAAATAGTTTGGCAAGTGAATTGGAAAACTTGAGCAAAAAATCCTACCTTGCTGTCAGTTTACATCAATAGCAACTAAGCACTTGATTTTGATCTAAAAAAAACGAAAAACCCTTTAGTTAACCCAATCCACGGGAACTATAAAGGAGCCATCAAGGAATTAAATAGGAACTATAAAGGAATTAAATAGGAACTATAAAGGAACTAAAAGGAAACTAAATAGGAACCATCAAGGAATTAAACAGGAACTATAAAGGAGCTAAATAGGAACCATCAAGGAACTAAATAGGAACTATCAAGGAATTAAACAGGAATTATAAAGGAACTAAATAGGAAATATACAGGAGTTTCATGAAATCACCGTAATGCATTCCGAGTTTCCCTCCGCTAAACCAAAGACTTTTGTACTTTTTCTTTTCAAAGCAAATTCCCTAAATGAAATCAGTTTTTTTTTTCTTGCACCTGTATTCCGATGAAAATTTTCACAGCATTTTCTTGCAATGGCGCCACTTTTCCTTTGGTTTTAGGTGGATTTTTGATGTAAAATATGACGATCGCTCGCTCGACCACGACAAAGAGGAAAGCCAGTGAGAGGGAAAATGAGAGACACATCTAAAAACAAAGAAAAATGAAACTTTTTAGGCTGTATGTAGCAAAGCTCTAACTCTAATAATTTGGGAATTCTCATCATCGATTTTCTTTCAAAGTTTTTCTACTTTTAACCACAAGACTGAGAAAGGATGAGATTGATTTGAATTCTTGATTTTATCAATAATATTAGATTGATTGATTTGAATTCTTGATTTTATCAATAATATTACAAGTCGAGAACCGCAGGGCTTTTCAGAATCTCCCTTTGTCTTTTCTCCTGTCTCCCAAACGTCTTTTCCCTTTGATCTAATATAGATAAGTTCAGTTTAGTCCTTAATAAATCGTTCTTTTAAAAAAACTAAAATAGATTGGATATAGTTTCTAATAAAAGTTGCTTCTAAAGTTAAGATTGTGCTTACATGTACGATTTTGAAAGGCAAACACCCGGGTGAAGTGAACACGAATTCACAGGGATCTGTCGACTCGAAAAGACGACGTAAAATAAACGGATAACACTGAAATTAACACATAGTTATTAAGTGAGAAAAAAGAACTAAGAAAAACTCACATTGCAAGCAATATTGTTGAAGGAGTAGAGCAACAAAATGAACACTTTAAAGATGATTAGACCCTGGAAAGTTTTCAGTCTTCAGTTTCTAACAATCCAAAAACAAAAACCAAGCCGATTCAAGTTTATTTGCGCCTAAATTCCATTCAATTTCCAAATAAACCATTCATTTTCTTGTAGTAACTGTTGAAATAAAGACTTAAGAAATAATAGAGCTTGACTGGATTTTTGATGAAAACCATTTTGATGAAAACCAGGCGACACGACACACGAGTCGGATTCGCCTCATTTACTCAGAGTTGGTTCTGATTTTCTTGAACTGGATTATCCAATTCACTTTTATTTGGTATCATTTGAAAGCCTGAAATGTCCTCTGTACAATGATATAAAAAGTTAGCAAAAATATTCTCTCTGGACAAATTTATAGGCCCTCGAAGCGTGACGATCCGTTCAAAATCCCCGGGAGCTATGGAAGAGTTGAAATTTCTAATTCTTTGAAAAAGTTTCAGAATTTTGGAAGATCTTTCATTCCCATGAAAACCAGGCGAAACGACAATCGGATAGACAGAAGGAATGTTTTTAGAAATGTTTTTGGAAACGTTTTTAGAAATGAAGGGATCTCTTTAGAAATTTTGAGCACATCCGCTAATTTTCAAAAGCACTTACATTTCTCTGATCGTGAATCCAAAAGCTTCGTCTTAAAATATAATAAATAATGATGAAAAGCGATGAAATAGCGACAAAAGATTTCACCTAAATCAAGCAGAAAATAACATAGAAATTTCAACTCTTCCATAGCTCCCGGGGATTTTGAACGGATCGTCACGCTTCGAGGGCCTATAAATTTGTCCAGAGAGAAGATTTTTGTTAACTTTTTATATCATTGTACAGAGGACATTTCAGGCTTTCAAATGATACCAAATAGAGCTTGACTGGATTTTTTTATTCTGATGAAAACCAGGCAACACGACACACGAGTCGGATAGGCCTTATTTACTCAGAGTTGGCTCTGATTTTCTTGAACTGGATTATTCAATTAACTTTTATTTAGTATTATTTGAAAGCCTGAAATGTCCTCTGTACAATGATATAAAAAGTTAACAAAAATATTCTCTCTGGACAAAGTTATAGGCCCTTAAAGCGTGACGATCCGTTCAAAATACCCGGGAACTATGGAAGAGTTGAAATTTCTAATTCTTTGAAAAAGTTGTAGAGTTTTGGAGAGAGCTTTTAAATTTGAATACTTAACGATTAGATTTATTGATGGTTTTTCTAAAAACAATGCTTTTTCTCATAATTTGTATCACTTACCGCATTCTGAATGGAGTAAACGGTGAAAAAGGCCAAATGGGCGGCCGTTTCGCAATAAAATGTGATATTTGTGTCCATTTTGACTGAATCGCTTTTAAATTTCTAAAAGCTAAAAGCTGAAAGCCATAAAGCAAAAAAAAAATTCAAAATTTCAACAAATTTACAGAGTTTTGAGCCAAAAAATGTTTAAAACTTTGCTGATTTTCACAAGAGACAAGAGATCTTCACAAGACGACTTTCACAACATTTTCACAAGAGAATTACTCGAAGAGAAATTTTCGTTTAATTAGTGGAAAAGATCAAAAATGAAAATAGAAAGCTTAGAAAAAAAAGAGAGAAAATGTAAAAAGTGTTTGCAAATTGCATTCTCCCCAATTCTAGTTGACTAATTGCTCTAAACGATCACCAAAACTTACTTAAAATAACTTGATGACAAAAATTTTCAACTTTTCCTGAATTGTTTACATTGTAGACTTGTCTCTGGACAAA